TGCTCGGCAATTATTCCCACCAATTCCCTAGAGTGCTGACAATGTGATACAACGAGGACAATACTACGGACGTTTTTTTTATCGCTAAACTAACCTCCGACAAAGGTCTCGTTCACCTTTTGATTACTTCCATTTCATTTTAGTACATCTAGAAACTTCCTTTGACATTTTCAGGTCTACATAACATTAAAAACATTCCCAGCATCACGGAAATTACGCGATTTCTATCAGCAGGAATAACATTAAATAAAAATAGCCATTGGTGGGAGTCTAAATATTTCACCATATGATGTTTGGACTAGAAACCGATATGTTTAAATTTCTTTATCGCATTTTTTGAGTGTCATTCTAAATGTACTAAAAGAGACGATCAAAACCATAGCATTTGCCTTCTCAAAGAAGATTTGAAAAATTGAGAGTATTTTGTCGTTGTTACTTTCACAGCGTACAGTAGGTATTTATTTACTTTTTTTCAATGGTTTCGAAATTCTGTAACGAATCAAAAACATGTTCATTGGTGCAGAAAGGCAAACAAAGTTTTGTCTTTGCGTCAAGTATATTGTCCTCTCTCTCTGTGTTTAAATTTCTCTATCACATTTCTCAGGGTCATTTTCAATTTAACCGCTGATGGAGATGACGTTTGTTGTCCATGGTCTTGGTGTGCAGTGTCCCTTTAATTATCCCCAAACACTTAAATTCATTTGTCGCCTGCATTTAATATTAACTGCGCCAGGAGAATTATTAGTCGAAAAACACATCACTGGGAAAATAAAGAGAAGACGTTTTTCTTGAATGAATGTTTAAAAAAAAGCTATTCGAGGCCTGGATTCTCAGTGTAATGGCAAATCTTTTTATGTGCTGCAATCTGACTGGCTACTCTACTCGCTAACTCTTTCGCATAATCCTGTTATGTCGTTACGATTTGAACCATAGTAGATTTACAATAAAACAATTTGATTATGAGCTCAAAATTTTGAATGCGTGAAAGTTGATTCTCCCTTCCCTCTCATAAACAACTCCACGAGTACCACACGATAAAATTCTTGATCTCATAATCCAATTGTTGAATCTCCAATAAACTGCTGTTATGAGTTAACACTTTCTTATTAGAGTAAAGGAGACTCTGAAGCCTGCCTCTCTTCCATGGTCTCTTGCTATTACAAGCTAGGAACCCTACTGATTTCCATACATTAGTCCATGTATATTCTTTTTTGCAATCATATGATACTGCTCATAAATTAAAATTATATCATTTGATTTGATTTAGATGCAAATTGCGATATTTTTATTTAATCTGTTTTTAATGGTGGTTTAAATGTTCTGTGAATTTTGATCAGCTAATAATTCATCATTATCTTGAAGGTTAAACTGATACTGCCTGCTGATCAATTGACGACAAAATAAAACAGCGCTTCTACAAGTAAATTGTGCAATGAAATTCTTATTTAGTCAAACAAGGCTTTGTTTGACATGAGCCAGGATAGCAAATAAGACAAAAGTCCTTTATTTCTTTCTAGCATTGTAATGAAGTGCACCCTTTTTAAGAAAAGCTTTCTTTAGGGACAGATGGTAGAGAAAATGGTCCTAACATTTCAATTTTACCATTCGATAATTCTTCCAATGAATCAAATCTAAAGGGCAAGTGACTAAGTTGGGGTAAATTGGATGATGTTTTTTGTAGGTTGATTGAATAACAAAATCATGATCGATCATTGTCAACCTTCAGGCTATAAAATTATGCATTTCTGTCTTCGAGACAGTGTTTTATGTTACATTCACTGATTCACTTGTCATCAGAATACTCCATGCCTTAACTGAGCTATTACAACTCTTACCGCTGCTGTAACCAGTACGGATTTAGAAAGGAGATTTTTGATACTTTTCGCGTAAATTTCATAAAATTACTGAAATCCTACCATATATGGCAACGTAACAGCCTCTCGAAAGATTGTAGCCATTTTTTAGTAGTTTCTTCAAGTGAAAATTAATTGCAACAGACTCAAAAGCACGATATGAAATGTTTTTCGATTCCATTCGCTTTTTTTTGTCTACTTCTTTCAAACGCCATGGGATTATTTTCGTTTTTCTTTGATGCCAATGCTTGTCCCATGCATTCAAAAACACCTCACTCTTCTATCTTGCCGCGCCGCTATGACGAACTCCTTCAGCAGAGGGAGCAGCTACTGTCTCATTTGAGATTATGTTTTGACAAGAGATCTTTCTCGTTCATTCAGATTCAAAGACACTTTTTCAGCTGTAAATAATAAACATTTAAACTTAACTCTTTAACTCCCATGAGTGACCAAGACAGAATTTCTCCTTACAATATCAATACAATATCAACCAGATAAGCGATGAGAATAGAGACAAATATCAATTTGGGGATAATTAGATGATCCAATAATAAATTCTCTCAACTAACACTGTAAGAATTGTGTGATTGACAGTGAGGAGAATGACAAATTTGATCTGGGAGTTAAAGGGTTAACCCAATTATGTGAAACATTTTTCCACGATCAAATGCATTGAACGCGTTTCAAAGATTAAAGTACCGAAATAAGCAAATTTGAATTTAATTTTAGAATATTTAAGATTCGAATCATGACGGCTTCTTCCAACCTGCAGCTGAACCACAACATACCCTGGTTTTTAAGCATCTACTGAAAATAGTTAGATAACACCGTGTGGGCAAGTTACTAACTATGGAAAAGTTTATTTCCCAACAGTCCCTAAACCTCTAACATTCCTTCATCATCGTAACATTAAGTTAGGGAAAGAAAGTTAGGCACCACACCAAGGAGAGTTTCTTTGGCTTTGATAACAAGCGATTTAGGTTTCATCACACTGAGTTATATCATGATGAAACTGAAGAAAAAAGCTAGGCAAACACGGATCCAAATATGGCTTTGATAGCCTTAGCTGAACAATAAGCAAGGAGATTCATTGAAAGAACTCGAGTTTTAAACAAAGTTCACCAAAAAGGATCATCAAACTCATTTTTTATTGTCAAATATTTGAGCCAAATGCTTCCCATCTGTATTATTCGTCACCATCTGATTGAATAATCAGTCAGCACAGTGAACTTGAACTTTTGATTCTCACTCCCAAGTTAAACAGTCAAAACAAAAAAATAACTCTTCTAATCACCGAAATTATATTGAAAACCAGCCAGCTCACTCATTTATCAGCACGTACTTCTCATCTACGAATAATGCGATTACATTCCTCATTTTTTTTCTTACTATCAAATAAGAACTCTTGAAGCCATCCTCCATACCCTATAACTCTGAAGTTAAGTTTGAACCATGAATATGTGACTTTTCTACTTGTAGATCGATAAATTAAAAGTTTCCATTAAGACTCTACGAGTTTGATTTAGTAAACATCAAACCTTCCGGAAACACCAAACTGGCCAAATTCTTAAGAAAACGCAGACATCAAAACAACCGCAAATTACCTTACGTCAACTGCGAAGGACTCAATCTACGAGCCAAAATCCACAGAAATGAATGTGGCTTTTATGAGTACAGCTAGTTACCAAAACTCATTATGATCTATTAGTCTAAGTTTAGAAAAATAACGACGTGGTCAACATTCAGGTCGTCAATGAACCGATGGGACTCAACCGACAAACTCCCCGACCACTGATATTTATACCTGATTTTATACACACAGCTTATTGTAAGCTGCGGCAAGGTAGTCTGGCCATTCAAGATAGTATTTCATTTTAATCTTCCTATGTCATGGACATTTGTGGTAGAAGACGTCACGGGTGTTACAAATATTGATTATGACGAGCATAAAAAAAATTTGGACAGTGATGGTGTCAAGACGATATGGACAAAACAGGGTCTTCACAAGTCCTTCTCTTTTTATTCTCTTCCGAGTGGATTCCTGGTGAAGCACGAGGAAATACCATTTATTACATTTATCATACCAAAGTATTTAGCTAGAATGTTAAGTGAAATGAGGACTCTGTTCTACTTACGTTTTTTTAACCTAAGCTCATACTTAAAAAGCCACTTTCTAGTGGGAGTTTCCTGTGGATAAGTGGTCTATTGCATGTGCCCATTTGAAATGTTTAAGTTTCCATTATACAATTAACTTTTTTACCGCAAAGTAATATAATTCTCAGCTGGTTTTAATTTGTGTTTGTCGTGTCTAGCACACCAACTCTTCTGTTCCGCTGAATTCATTCTAGAATGAGCCAATGCGCCTCTTTTTTTAGGAGAAACAGATTAAAATAATTACCTTGCGGTGGTCAAAATGAGCAGCGTTTTTGGCAAACGCATGCTGCAGGTTTAGACTGAAAAGTATCCGGAATTACTGAAGATAATCCTAAAACAGAGTAACATTTGGTCGTACCACACGCTATCTGCAAATGCATATGACACGAGACAAGTTCCTAAGAGTTATTGGAAAATGGGCTTGAAATAGAAACAAGCAGTAGTTTTTTCAGGGAAACAATTAATTAACCCCAGCGGCATTTTACATGTCTGTACTTGTGAAGTCCTTAGTGAGGCGTAAGCCTCGATGAAATAATGATTGAGAAAATTAAGTGGGAAGCACTGTTTCCGGCGGTGACATCCGCTGGACTCAATATTCTTATTGTTGCCCTTGTCATCATGGCAATATATAGTAAATCAGGGTGATTTGTTGCACAATAGAGGTCATTTTCTCTCGTAACTATATTTCATACCAAATGACCTCTCTTTAACCAAATCGCTGGCCGATAAGCTGAAATTAACCCTTACAACTGTTTGAAGTATCCGTCAATAACTTTCCTTCCTGACGCTCTTTACGTTAAAAATAGAGATTGCTGTATTGATGACTTGGAAACGTTTTTTGTGAGTAAAGGTCAAGTGATTTGCAGTTTGTCGTGTCTAAGAATTAATTTCTTCATGGACTGATACTGCGGAGGTGTAACTATGGTGTAACTGGATCTAGCTGATCACTTCAAAAGTGGGAGGAGATTGTTTGTATTTGACTTGTATTGGGTTGTATTTTGTTTGCATTTGTTTATATCGTGCATTCCATGAGACAGCGAACATCTCCGCAACAGCATCGCCACTTACATCAAACAGTCACGTTAAGTTGAAATGGGTAAAAAAGAAATTGAAGGTAAAGACTCGAAGGCTGATAAAAATGCCAAGAAGAAGACGAAACGGCGACCACCTCGATTGACGGGAGTCAGCAAACAACGAAAAATGGCAAATGAAAGAGAGAGACGAAGAGTACACGCTTTAAATTCACATATTGAAAACCTTCGGGAGTTAATTCCACTCTCGCCATTTGAGAAACGACCAACCAAGACTGAAGTCATTTGGATGGCAGCAACTTATATCAAATTTCTCACTGACCTGTTAGAAAAACTGAAAACCGACAATACTGTTGAAAATACATGCGATGACTCTGATGAAATTCGTCAAAGTTTGGACCTAACGTTTGTAGATATGGCAGGTTAGTGGTGTTTGTAAAATTTTTCCTTATGCCTTCACGTTGAAGTGTTGTGATAAAAATTTTATCTAATATTTTCGCGTATTTTTATTCTACAGTGTCCGACATTTTTGGCCTTAATGATTGCTCCGCAGTATCAGAGCTGAATCTGGACGCTTATGAACTTTTATTTCTCACAGGTAAATAAATAATTCACCAAATTTTTGTTATTGTCTTCGTGTTATGAAAACACCTTTAAAATTGTACTTTGTCGTGTTGTACAGCTCCTAGTTTTGAATTTTTCTTTATAATGCTGTTTCTATCCTTTTTTACAGACTCAGAGGGATCTTTAGACGAAAACTGATTTTCGCTGGATTAGTATTTAAATTTTCATCACAAGATTCTGTGCTCAACCCGTTGATGTCCTTGTAAAACAGACAATTTAATCATCATTACGCTAATGGCACATTTCTTCATGGTAGTTCAGACATCGAGTCATAACAAACACGTAAATGAAGATACTTCACTGACGTTAAAAAATAGGAAAACTGTCTATCTTATAAACTTCAGATCACAAAAGGAACTGACGCAAGTTTTAAAAATCGCGTCGAGGTCAAGAACGTCAAGAATCCCACTGATCTTGGATCACCCAAATTCAAGAGTCCTTAAATAAAAGGAAATCTAGGTTAAGTTTAGTCAAATAGGCGGTTGCTCTTGATGATAACATAAAACCCGCACGATGTATTTTCATTGCGAGTTAAACCGATGAGAAAACAAATTGGTATTTCATGTGATACCAAACAAACTTGACTTGTTTTGGTTTCCGACTGAAAGAGATAATTCCTTTGGTATTTTTATTTCTCCTACAATCGTCTTGTAAGAAGTTAAGAAGGATTATGTTCGTAAATAAAAGTATTTTTAACACGCGGTGGATCTATTACTGGTCAAAAAGGACGGAATTTATCGGGCGGCCTTATTGAGAATATATACCAGACCAGCGTTGACAAGTTGTTTCAGTTGTTTAATCACAGACTTCAAGCGCCCTTTTTAGCTCAATATATCATTTTATGATAGCCGGGAACTCGAAAATCAGCCAACGTTTCTCCGGATTTATATAATTGAGTCATAAAGTACAAATTGGACAACAGTCTACATAAATAAACGAATAAGTCGGAATATATCGTGTTGTTTCAATCTTTGCCCACACAAGTGTAAAAGTATGTAGTGATGATTTGAATTCGCTAAGCTATAGAAGTGCGATAACAAGCGTCGATAAATCCATCGGAATTTCTTCCTTGATGATCACAACAGCCATCAGTTTTCTCAGTATTTAAGATGTGAAGACTAAGATAAAACGTGAAAAGTCGAGAACACAAAATTGGCAAGCTAAACCACGCACAAACTGTTTCTCTTCTATGATGGACCGGAGTTTTCAAGCGTACACGTAGCAATTAAAAGTTCACTCACAATTTCCTTTGCTTGTCTCCTGGGACGCAAACCAATTTTTCAAGCTGTAATGGAAGTTCAGCCAACAAAAAAAAAAAACAAAGATTGATGGAACACATGAAAAAGTGAACACATTTTGTAATATGCACACGTAGGCTGACGAACCATATGAGTTTTCTTGAGATAAACCGACTTTAGTAAGATTTCCATTCTCCCGTTACTAACCGTTGTTTATAATGACCTTTTCATTCACCGCCTAATTTTGCTGTAAAAACTGTTTTATCAAAACGAAAACCGTCTTTGTCGGCGAGTAATACCGCCCATGAAGTATAACAGACTGTTTTTAGATCAGGCAACTCGGGTATCAATGAAGGAAAGTCGAAATGACGATCACGAAACGATTTCAGGTTTCACCCAAGAGAAAATATTCTACTAAAGTGAAGCGGACAATGTAGTGATTTAACCGTTTACGGATGCAACATCTTCATCCAGAATTTTTGGGACACAGCAGTACAGAAGAAAAATGGGTTCGTTTAATGGTGAATGAGAAACAAGAACGTTTACGTTCCTGACCCCTGGAAACTGTAGCTACGTGCAAAACATGATCAACTTTTTGATAAAGGTTTTTCGCTCTGTGCGATAATGATCTCTCACCGATTTCAAGACCAAATTTGAGAAATAGAAAGTATCTCTTCACTTCCTTTTACTCCCATTTCATTAGCAAGTTTAATTTGGGAAGCATATAGTAATTTTTCCATTGAAGATTTCAGGATAAGCGAAATTTTAACTCGAAGAATTCGGGAATCTATGTCAACTCCATAAGTAGATTTAAAGCAAGCAACCCACGCCATACCATGCCATGGGAACCTTGCCAGAAGAGGAATGGGAACCTAATAAAACAAAGACGACAGGCTTTGTCTCTGTAGTTCGTTTGTAATATCATCCTTTTCTCTGGCATGGAAGGTTGTGAATTCCGAGAAAAGTTCTGGTTCAAAAGTTTAATCAACACAATGCGGGGATATTGTTCATTCCGTAATTAAACTCCCGACACATTTAGTCCGTTCCAGTTAATCAAATAATTTCTGTAGTGTATATATGTAAAATAAAGTCAAAGTATCACGAATATTAGATATCGTGATGGATATTGTTACCAGTGGTAACGACTGAATTGAGTCAGGATACAGAGGATAGCAGAGTGCTGAAATCTGTATTACTAAGGGTGTGGTCATTAACCACTCTTTATTATTTTTCTCTTATCATAAAAGTCTCAGAGGCGTAGGAGTTGAACAGTCCTTTGATTTGCTTTTCTTGTTTTCCCTTCTCTGTTATCCGTGGTTTTTCGAGATAGCTCTGTGGGCCGTTTTCCTAGTTAAGAGGTGTAAAGGAGTTTGGCTCCAAAACGACAACTGGATAGGCAGGTCTGATTACCAGCCATGTGCCTTATTCTTTGGAAGTATTGGAAGCATATCCCTCTTTCCGTAGCATTAGCAACCAAAGGTATTTCGTCTCTTCTTGGTTAGGATACCAGTGCATTGCAGGAAACCAATCCAGTATTTCTTCGGATTTCCTTTCAGTTTGTTGATCTGTCTCTTTACACGGATCATGTTGGGGTGGAATCAGGCATTGTTAGCTTAAGAGTACAACAAAATGACCTCCCCTAGGCCTGAACCCTGACCTTTAGAGCTATTTAGTAAGGCATGCTGACCCGGCAAGATTTTTAAAACCATGGAGAAAAATTAATCTTGAGACATAAAACATGAAGGTAACATTATAACTCTTTAGGGTTATAATGTTACTCTTTAGAAGATAGAGGTAACATTATAACTCTTTATGACTATACAAGGAAGTGGCACTACTCAATAATGAGTAAACTGAGGGAGGGTCACTTGTTTTGTGCCGCAAGGAAAAATGGTAACACACAACTAACTGAAGTCAGAGTTCGGTACAACTCTTTTATTATATATATATATATATGCTGTCTATAAACAGCTCAGTTTCTTTTCATTCTAAATGAACCTGTTTTAACTGAAAAACCTGCACGCCTAAGGGTCTGATTATCTTCGCAGAGGTTCGCGCATCCGCTATTATCTGCATAGCATGCAGAATACCTTTACATTCCACAGTAGCGTGGTTTAGAATGTTTCCATTATGGAAAGGTAAAATTGAGGACAAATGAAATTGTCGTCACTGTTGTTGTCCTACTTAAACTCTTCAAGACTGAAGAAAATTTTAGATCGCAGCAAGTTTACTGTATGTCAAATTTTAGTTTCAAAAATCTGAATCGGAAGAACTTTCCTCTTTCACAGTAACTAAGTACGCGTCGCTTTTTCCTTGAGGCTTCGTTAAAGTCGACTCACATTGGCGATTGTTTTTCAACAGTTCTGTGAGATGATGAATATAAAGTGCAGCCAGTCGTACTGTTTCTATCTTAGATGGCCGTTTCTCTGTTGGAAGTAGAGGTATTAAATCGCGCAAAGTCTCAAAGGCGCTGTTGATAGCTTGTACTCTATTCCTCTCTCTTGCGTTTGCTGACTTTCTTTGTTTACTGACTCCTGTAAGTCTTGGTCCCCGTCTCTTGTGCTTTTTCTTTGCTTGAGCTGGCGACGAAGGCACTGAAGCCGGTGAATCAAACTTGTAACTGCTACGCACAGATGAGTGCATGACCCCAACACTTGCCAGTGAATTCACCATCTTTAAGCCCTGTTTGTACAAAATCATTTCAGTTAAATGCTCTCGACAGGACCCCATAGTTATCAGTCACAAGTTATTCTTTTCATTGTTGATAAAACAGCCCTGTTGTATTTGCTTGTGAATGAAATATTTGCCGTGAGAAATCTAATTTTGTACCAACTCAAACAATTTCAAGGAAAAAAAAGCTTACTTTACCGTACACCATGCTATGTCAACACTAAGTGCACCCAACAAAAATCGAATATTAAGAAATTTTTGATTATCTGTACGTCTTGCGAGAAAGTTTATGTTAAGAACTGTGTTTCTCAGTCGGTAATGTTAATTCGAATTTCTTAGGAACCGGATAACCGCATCGAATGAAATAAAACCTCCATAACCGCAATTGCCCAATAGCAAGCTCTGCTTGCAACTTTAATCCTAATCATATCATAAATAGAATTAATTAGGAAGAGTTGTTAGAGTTTGTTTCGGCGCTTTTCGATCGTAGATTTCCATTTGTCGGTTTTTTTTTTAATTTGTCGGCATTGCTCGGTAGGTTTCGCCAGACTATCAACAGGTTTTCGAGAGCTATCCATCTGGAAACAGCCAAACGTAATTGCTACTTTCTGTAGTGAAATCAACTAAATGTAAAAGTACATACACTGCTTTCCACTCAAAAAGAAAACAATACAGAGTTTTATACTATAACAATGTCGCAACAGCGATTCGCGATATACATTAGTTATTTCATCTCATCCGGCCGAGGTATCTCAGTTATTAACTTTGGGGGGCAAACGTGTTATTCAGTACCTACCGCAATAAGCTATTGTCCCGAACAATAACTTTGGTAATTGCGGCCATCTCTAGGCCAAGTTGCTTTTATGAACAAAGAAGTTACCGATGTGCATTTTGATAGTATCTCTAATTGTAGCAGAGAACGAGATTACTTGGTCTGTAAACTTACAGCAGGTTATGAATATCAGTCAAATAAAAGATGAGATGTCACTTAGAAATCGTAACATGCAAATATTTGTACCCTGTCTTACCTAAACTGAATATTAAGAGAATATGAATGCGACCTTTGGTTTAAAATATTTTGGGCTAAGGCTGCGAAATTTACTTGGCAAAAATATATTCGGGATGTGCAAAAACTGATGGCTTATCAGATTACATATATTGCCTATTTGATCTGAAATCTTGATTGCTAAAGCACACGCACTAAGCCAAAACGATTTGTACTGCGCGTGCCAGCAAAACAACATACAATTTAACGGCGAATGACTTAGAGGTTAATCACTATTAGAGCAACATTTCGGCAAATCAAATGCATACTCTTCTCACCTTTGGTATCTGTGTTAACTGTTTTAAAACCTCTGCCCCGTGAAAGCTCAAATTTAAATCTCTTCTTATTAGTCCTTGTTCGTTAAACGGATCGAAACAACTTCTGCAAAAATATGCATTGCTCGAGTTTATTCTCTCAGCGGGTAATTTGCCAAAAACTAAACTGGGGGGTAAAGAATTTCAAACTCTCTCAAAACACATTCCGGTCTAATGTGTAACTGTATATTTGCGTTCCTTAATCCGTTATCTTTCTCAGATTTTGGTTGACGACGGAAAAAGTCATAAATTCCTGTCTTAGACCGGGTCAAGGACGAAGATTATTACTTGAATAACAACTAATAATTTAAGTATAAGTTATGGCTCAAATTGTGGCTTATCTCTGATAGGGTTTTACGTTTGGCTGATTTTGAAAGAAGCCGAAGGAACCATTTTAATCTGCTCCAAAATTGAAAAGATAAAGTATAATTGCTGAAAAATTTAAATGAATAGTTTCGCATCAGATTTCTCAGAAGAAATAGAAGCAAAAACTTGGTAATCGTCAGCAATATTCATCAAAACTGACTTTCTTAGCTGGTACATACTTTTCTGATGTATGAATAAAAATAGACATCGCCTCTCGCCTGAGGGAAACATTGTTGTTTGAAAAGAATCTTTTCATCGATGATTGCTTTCACTCTTATCAGTTGTATTTTGGTAAATCATTCAAACATGTCTTAAGTTTTGTAAAAGTTAAAGAATTCAAAAGAAACTCAACACACAAAAAGTAGATGGGTATGAGAACTGTACTGAGTTTATTTTCATCTCTCGGTGATACTACATTGTTGTGCCTAGCTTAGAAAAGAGGCTTTGAATGCACTGTATCGAGGCTATTGCAGTTTGTTGACTCTTGCTGTTAAGAAGTCGGTAAACAGCAAAACAAAAGTGGAACAAGGCTTAAACGAAATTCCGTCAGAAGCTGAACCGCTCTAAGTTGTAATTTTAAGTCCAGTAAAACGCGTTATTTTATCTTCTAGATAAATCAATAACTGGTTATCTAAGATTACTAACATTTGAACTTTTGCAATTCAAAATCTCGGCTTAATATGGAGTTAATCACAGTTTGTAAACTTTGAGGTCTTAAAGAGGTGTTCAGGTTTCCGTTTCTTGCAGAGCTGATAACTCAGTTTTAGGGTCTTGAACGTCTTCGATCCGTTTGCCAACCAAAACTCCTTGTTCCTTCAAGATGGATGAAAGCTGCGAGATGTACAAAGTAGCACCCACTATGACATCAAACTTGGTAACCCTGTAATTGTTCTGTGTTTGAGGAATTAAAGTTCGTAGAATTTGAATATAGTTATTCAGGATGTTTACTCGATCTCTTTCCCGTGCATTTGCTTTTCTTCGCTGTTTGCTAACCCCAGTTAATCTTGGAGCGCGTCGCTTCTTTCGTTTGCAATTTTGGAGTGAGTCTTCTTTGTCCGTGCATCGCTCTACAGTTGAAGGAGGCATATTTCATTATTTTCAGGAACTTTTGCTGACACACTGACGCACCGCCGACTTTTTTTTTCTGATGTTTTTAGTGATCGTGTTTTGAGTACACTACCGCAAAGTTTACAAAACACAGGTCATTCCTTTAGCCAACCATCAACTAATCTAAAACTTTAAAATTAACACATGCTTATAAGGTATTTGGTTGTTATGAATCTTTCAAGCAAAAATGTTTACCTTAAGAAACAAAAGAACAATTCAAACGTAGGTTTGTATAGTTAAATATGCATTTGAGGTGTTGGCTAACTAAATATGAGAATTTTATCCTACGCTCAACCTATATTCTTATATCGAATATTTTTATAAGTTATGTGTTAGCTTTGTTCTTCATAAATCACGTCAACTAAGAACCCAGCTTTAGATCGAAACTTGGATTATAACAATCTCGCCGTAGGAGGTCCAACGAGAATTTTTACGAAAGTAGATAATTTAAAGCTTGTCTACTCGAGTCAACCGCATCAACAAGAATTGAGAACTGACTCTTTTCTTCCGTTTTTATAGCAAATGAACGGGTGAACGTGATAGTTACCAATCAATAGGGTGTAATAGTTACACCATAAAGGGTTACCTTTTTTAAAAGTTGTTATTCATCAAAGTCAATGTTTAAAACTTTGTCGGCATGCCCGGCACGTGTAGCCATCATAAGTAGCGGACAGGTCTTAAAGTGGTCTAACTCTGATAGATACACTACTAAAATGGTTAATTGAATTTGTAAAACACGAGTCATGTCCCATAGGACCACTGCTAACCAGTCACTTCCAAATGCAGTGACCGGCCCGTCTTATCGGAACTACCTTCTCTCGGCTTGGACTTTAGTGTGAGTAGCTAGTGAGGACTTTCCATAAATCCTTAGGATAACCGATAACCAAAAAAGGCATTTTTCTTCCAGCTGAAGCCCACTAAATGTTTTGGATTCTTCAGTGAGAAATCGATCTGTTTTCGGAAAGAAAATGATCTTTCTTTGATGGTAGATGGAACGCTTGGTGTCCCTGCGGGAGGCTTTTAGCTAAACCTAAACAACGAAAAAAAAACACAACACTGCTTGACAGGGTGGCTTAAATATATGGTTTGTGTCCTCAACCGGCAGGGAAGATGAATAATTATATTTAGTTATTTTTAGGATCCAAATTGTCAATTTGTACATTTCCAAATGCCATTCACTGCACTGGAGCACGTCCATGTAACTCTCATAACTCTCCTTAATGTTTTTACAGACTTCAACTCACTACGTGGATTGACAACGAGGTGACAGCTGTCCGGGAAATTTATTTGGAAAGATGTGCATACTTACAAGTCATCTTTTGGCTATTGCCAAGCCTCCGTTCTCCCAGCTCGAAATCCTGACGTAATCCTGTGTGCTATCCTTTGACAAAATACGTTTCGGGTCTACAAGGAAGATTTCATTTTCGGGGGTGAAAGAGACCCGAAACTTTATTGGCTACAGAATTATAAAAGGAGTGCAAGGAAAATCGTCTAATCCGAGGCTAGCGACACTCTAAAATCAGTGTTTGAAAGTCCGGGACCAAAACCAAAACAATTGTTTTTATGTCGGCCATGATACTACCGTCGCTTCCCTCAAATTTTGCATTAAAATATCTATACCCTTTTCTGTTTCCTTTTATGGCGTCTAAATTGAAATAATTCCAAGCCGCATCTATCAAACGCGGACTTCCCACCTTAAGATACATGCAAGGCTACAGGCAAAGCTATACCCTTCTGGCTGAGACCCGCAGCAAGCTGCAAAACTGTCCGCGTTTTTTTTTTTTTTTTAACAACCTTAGGGCCTATAAAAGGAAGTATTCTTCAAACGCTTCTGTGTCTGAAGTCTAATGGATATTTTTTCGGGCAGATAAGTGTCCATTCCCAATCTATGTTATTATAAGGGTGTTAATTAACACAATATTGGCTCGATTGCCGCCAGTGTGTCGAAGATCCTTGCGGGTTAATACATTGCAAAATTTTATTGCAAGAGGTTTAGGTAAGACATTAAGTTTTAAAAGTTGGCTAACATTATTCAAAACTGATTTTTCTGTCACGAAAATAAAATTTGCCTAATGCGACTGAAAGTAATTGTGTCATCTTAACAATCTTTCCTTCTGATTTCCATTCTCTCTGCTGACGAGTGCGTCCTAAAGATTATAAACATTTGCATTTATCATTTAAATGTAATAAGCTGTTTAAAAAAATCACTAGTTAGTTTTTATAACTGA